CTGACGCAGGACATAGAACACAGAGCCAGAGTTTATAGACATTATAATGCAGAAATATTACATATTATAGCTTTAGTTCAGATTGAAGTCCTGGTTTAAACGTTGTAACATGTAATCAGGGCCTTCCTCCTGCAGTGGAAGTGCTCTCCTCTCTCAGCGAGTCTCCTCTGTATAAATAAAGGTCAGTCATCGTTTGCATGTGGATTTTACTAGAGAGCTGATGGGGTTTACGACAGGAGACACAGAGCTGGTTACAGAGTCTGACCTCCCCTCCGTCCGCCCTTCAGGTAACATGATGGAGGTGGCGGGTTCCTGGACAGAAGTATTCGAGGGTTCGGAGAGGACGGATGCGTGCGGGAGAGCGGAGACGCTGTTGGGGAGCTCCACTCTGACTCTGGCTCCTCTGGTCGCTGATCCCCCGTCAGTACGCCGCTCCCAGCCCATCCTCATCACCTCAAACAGGTAGGACCAGCAGCGAGGAGCCACGTGGGCACAGACGGCGTTACTCACTCGTAGTGGACATGAGTCAACAGACTCCTGCAGCAGGCGTTGGATGTTGACTCAAGCCGGTGACTCAGCCTCAGGCTATAAGTCATCTGACATGTGAAGAAGTGACTAGTTTCTATTAAGACGAGTATAATGCCAGATACTCCCCGCCTTAGAGACACAAGTAATAAAACTGTGATTGCAGAGAGGGTTGGGAGTGTGTGCTCTGCTGTTAGAGACACACTGGGGGGAGTTCTGGTTTTCTTTCACTTCCTCGTTTTTTATTTGGACGCAGAACTTTTTGTTTCTTCTGCCCCAAAGACAAAGAAAGTTATATTGACGTATTTATGAACTCTCTTCAATATTAATGCTGTCAAATAAATCCAATAATCTGAATTTTAGGCCTTAAAATATCTTTAATATGATATAAAGAGGCCTTAAACGTGGATTGGATCTAATTTAAGTTGTATAAAGTTGCATTTTTCAGTCTCCTTTTTAATTTTTGGAAAAAATAAGCATTAATTTTACTGTAACAGCTACAAAATAAATAATAAAGTCTTAAATACAACCTGTTGAAACCTTGAAATTGTGAAAAATATAACGTCTTAATTAAACATTATTCTATTCAATAAGGTCTGTAAAGGAGGAAGTGACTGCGTGTAATGTCACAGGAGTTAATATTCATCTCTGTTTTGGTTTTACGGACCCCGAATGAACCGTTCTGGTTCTCATTCAACAATATTTTACTGTAAGCAGCAGCGGTTGTACAAAAACATACAAATATAATGAAAATACAAACAATTGGACCTCTGTATTTTGGTATTTTTTACAGCAAATTAGTTTTTTTCCAGTCAAAGGAACATAATTAACAACATTAGACACATCAATGCTCGATCATTGACGTGTTTTTGGACAACAGTGACACAGAGGAAGTAAAATTATCTATAAAAATATAGAATATCACCTCCTTTAATAGAAATATTGAATTAGATGATAAGACAATTAGTCAGTTTCTTATTTAATGATTTTGTTTGTTGTGTTTCCAGGACGAAAGGCGAAGAGTTGTTCTCCTCCTCTGTCCCATCCATCCCCAACCCTTTCCCCGAGCTCTCCAGCCCTCCGGTGCTCATCAGCTCTCTTCCACCGCAGTCCAGCGACAAACATGTAAGTTCAAACCCTCGTTTGGAGCCGATTTAGACGTTTGTTGCATCTGAAATGGGCCAAACTGATCGATTGAATCATTTTATCTCCATTCAAGTTAACAGAGGATTAAACTGTAGGTTAGCTCTCTGTATGTGCGTCCTCTACTGCTGGTGTTCCTGACCTTCTTCCTTAAAGGACCCCTTTACTATAATTAAGTTAAAACTGACTATGAGACATATTTTATGTATATTTCATATTCAGTGCATCACAATAACATCAAGGAACAACTAATAAACTGAACAATGAACACAAAAACTGCAGGAAGTTTGTGTAAAATGACCAATTCGGATGAATTTTAAGCAGATTATTTTCTGTTTTCCTGATATTTTAAGCAACTTTTTATACAGTTCTCTGTCTACAGACTTAATATTAGCTCTTAAAGATCTTAAATAATAATCTAAAACTTTAAAAATAGCAGTTTCATTTAATTTTCTTCACATAAATGAACAGATTGCTGAGACATAGACCTACTGTTTCTGTTTTTTAAGTTAACTTAAAATCAAGAAGGCCTCGTGACCCCCTGTGAAGCTCTGGCGACCCCTACTGGCGGTCCCGACCCATTGGTCCATTGGTTGGGAACCACTGCTCTACGGGCCTGTGGTTTTCCTTTCACTTCACCATCTTAGTTTCATTTTTACAAAACAGAACATTTGCCAAATTATGAATTAGAGGCACTGAGGCTTCATTTTAGAGTCTGGCAGTATTTAGTATTTTCTTACTGTCAATAAATTGCATGAAAAGACCAAAACCATCAAATAATACTGTCTGTTTACCTGAATGTGTATTAATCCGCCACTGAAAATAGTCCCATTTTCTCCAGTTTGAGTAACATTTGATAAAAACTACAGAGACCAGCAGTTTTCTGAGTCTTTTTACAAACTTAAACTATGTATTTGATAAAGCTCTGCACCGTAAGAACCAGATAATATAAACACACTGTTGGTGTTTTTCATTTGATTTATTAACAGAAAGAATAACACAGAATAAAAGCAGCGTTATCCTCCTCGCAGTATTTGTTCAGACAAATCTCAGCTCCTTGTGTTAATCCCCTCACACCTGTCTGATCTGTAGGGTCTGACAGGTGGATCCTCTCGCTGTGTCTCAACCTGTTTGTGCTAGCAGGGCCGAATGGAGGTTGGCTGTGATTGTGACTGACAGGAGAGCTGTGTTGCCATGCCTGCGCTGCCTTATTTTGACTCACAAACACTGCCAGAATAAACATGTCTGTAATTACAGCAGCGTGACGCCATGCCGCGCTCGCCACGGGGCGTTTCATGTACAGCGATGGAAGCGAACAGGCGGTTTTGTGTAGGCCTGCAGCTGTTTGTTCTCAGTTGGTTTGTGTTCATTTGGACCACATCTGGACCGCTGCAGGGCTGGTTTGTGTTGGTGGTTTTCAGTATTTCTCAAATTATGATTTTACTGGGATGAAAACAAGAGCTTAACAGAGTCTTTAGTGTTCCAGTATATGGCCAAAAGTATGTGGACATCCTTTTACCTCTAATGATTGTGTCCACTGTACAGTATATGGTGATTAGTATGTCCACATACTTTTTTAAACTTGTGATTTTAAGCAGTTTTGTTCTAGTGAAGCTTTTGAAAACTTTCTCTGTAACATTTATGAATAAAAACGAAAACAAAGTTAACAAAATACACCTTTAGTTATTGTTTATTAAGTGTTTAATGAGAAAAACCAACATTAGGAAATGTTTTCTGATTTCGAAAACAAAAATCTGTTGGCTGCAAACCCAAACAATTGTTTAATTAGCTAATTAGTTTCTCAATTAACCGATTTGTCTATAAAATGTCAGAAAACTGCAGGAAAGTTTGTGTAAAACAAGCAATTTTGAGCAGATTATTTCCTGTAAATATTGATCAGAAATTAGTTTTCTTGATATTTTTATAAACCTTTTATACAATTTTCTTTCCGTATTTTGTTTTTTCCCCCTTTGTATCTAAACTATGTAAACTTATATAAAAACACAATTTAATTTAGTTTTGTTAAGAAAGTATCAAAAAATGTTGAGATATCAGCTCACTGTGTATATTTTAAGTTTTCTTAAGCCTCTAAAAATGAAGAAAGCCTCATGACCCCTGTGAAGCTTTGGCGACCCCTAGTGAGGGTCTCGACCCTCAAGTTGGGAACCACTGCTGTAGATAAAGCAAATTGTTTTAAATTTCTCACAGCCAAATAATAATAATGATACTAATATTAATAATCTGTTATGTGATACGTCATTTTAACACTGAAAGAATTGTAGAAACTGATTACATCGAATATTTTAACTAACACAAACTTAGTTACAGAAACATTCCTGATCAAGTACTTTTTGTTTTCACAGTACAAATAACAGTTTCACTTAAAATGTTCGATGTAATTCAAGTAATTTCTTTAGTTAAATGAACTTAAATGAACTAACTTAACTTTATTTACATAACACAATACATGCATAAAGTTCAACACAAAGTGCTGAACATTAAAGGAAATTATTGTGACAATAAAAACAATAAAAACAAGGAAAATAAAATAGCATTAAAACACATCAGGAGAAAGTAAAAGACCTTCAGACAGTCTGATCCAGAGTTTTGGAGTATAATTAACTCTTCGTCCCCGTATTGTTCGGACTAACAGATTAAAAACAATCTGCACCTTTCAGACGCTCCTGCAGCCAGTTTGAGCGTTTGTGATCTAATCTCGTCTGTTGTCGCACTCTGTAAACTCTACGCTCCCAATCACAGACCCTGAATTTGTTCAGAGTAAAGAGAAACATATTTTCTGGACCGGATATCGAACTGTGAGGTTTCCCCCGGAGGAATGTTCCTCCCCCATAATCCTCCCCGGTCGGTGCTCGGCCGACTCAACCCGCCCAACCAGTCGGGACTTGCTGATTGACAGCCGCCGGGGTTTCTGGCCGGGCAGGTTTGTTTTCTTTTGGTTTAGAGACGTGCTGCTGGATCCCGCCGCTGCGTCAGACAGCAGCACACCCTGAGAAACGTCCTGACCCCTGAACGACCTGCACCCAGTTCACCTCGACGGCATCGGCGACGCAGATCGACTGCACGCACGGCTGCTTTCTCAGATCTGATCTTTTCCTCCACACATGAGAACACACACTGGGAGAAAGCAGGAGTAAACGTGCAGGACGAGTTTTTTTAGACATTTCTTTCTTTCACCAGAACGCCCACGACTCGCAGAATAAGATATGAAAGCTGCGTCTGTAATTTGAGAAAGGAATTAAAGACACGAACAGGTTGAAGGAGGGATACGACGTGCCCCGGTGTCGGTCTAAAATTAGGGAGAATTTCTCTTAAGGTGCCTCGTCCTGTTTAATACAGACTGGCTGTGTCTGCCTGCTGACAGGTTCTTGGCCTCGGATTCTGGCTCCTTGTTTTTTTGCGTGTACCGACGTTGGTTCGATGCCAAAACAAAGTGTGAAAAGTATGTTGTGTATTCAGTTACTCAGATCGAACCTGTTTGCCCAACGCTTTTAAGGCCAATTCCTTCAAAAGAAATTCTTAAATTCACAGATCACATGAAAAACTGCCTGTTAATTCTGAGGTACTTTACTGGAATATTTCCATTTTATCCTCCTTTATCCTTCTACATGTATCTCACAGGTGGAGTTAATAGTTACTTTGCAGATGGAGATTGTTATAAACTGTATATATGTGTGTATTTGGGTTATTTACACAGGCAGAGTTGTAAAATGAAATTCAGATATAGTTCCTGTCATGCTACTTTCTTTTTTTTATAAATTGATGAATAAGTTGTAAAAGTAGAACAATTACTCATTGATTTGGAGAATTTAGCAGTAATTGCTAAACAAACTGAATTAGATGTTAATTACAATATTTTATTTTTACCATATCGTGCTGCCCTGAACACAATAACCGCAGGAAGTTTATGTAAAACAAGCAATTTGCATGAATTATCATTAGTTTACTGATATTTTTAGGCACTTTTTATACAATTGTCTCTGTATTATCTATTTTTTAACCATTTAATCATACATACTATGAATATATAAAGAAAAATACAGTTTAATTTAGTTTTATTAAGAAAATGCTGAGATATAGCTTAATAAAAGCCAGTCGAACACTTTTAATGTGAAGAAGCAGCAGTAGGACATGTTGGACAGTCTGTTATCAGTGAGATAAAATTATGCTGGATTACATGTTGCTTGTGAATACCGGTGTGAGAATGGCCGACTCCGCCATAAAAATAGAAAAATAATAGAAAAATCCACAATACAGACAGAGAATTGTATAACAATCTGCTCAAAATTCATCCAAATCTCTCGTTTTACACAAACTTTCATTTCATTTCATTGTACAGTTTTAATATAATATGAAATATACATAAAATATGTCACTGAGTCAGTTAATTAATGATGATTAATGGCGTCCTTTAAGGTCAAATGTTGGGAACCACTGCTGTAGAGAATATAAATACATGAAGGGGCTTTTGCACACAACATGCAGACCATAAATTGTATCAGAAATGTTGTTTTTGCTGCTTTTACCGTGAATATTTCTCCCTGTGCTTCGTGCAGCTGATAAAGGTGTATGGGGAGGACAGCCACAGCCGGTCGGTGTGGGTCGCTCCGAGAGCTACAGCCAGGGAGGTGTGTCACATGTTGGTCCAGACGGCTCACTGCAGCGATCAGGAAAACTGGGCTCTGCTGGAGCTCCACCCCGCCCTGGGCCTGGGTAAGACTGTGACTGTATTGAATGAAAGTGAAGTTATAATGTTTAATGTTTAATGTTTCACACACATGTTCCTCCCCTCTCTCCTGCAGAGAGATGTCTGGAGGACCACGAGGTCGTGCTCCACGTTCAGGCCACCTGGTCTCTCAAAGGCGACACGAGGCTCGTTTTCTGCAAAAACTACGCCAAGTACGAGTTCTTCAGGAAACCGACGGTGAGTTTGAAGCTGTAAAAATACATTATTATGAGATAAGAGAACACCTCAGGCGGGAGGATTCTTGCTGCTCTGCCGGCTCGCTGGAGGCTGACGAGGCCTGACGTCAAGCTGGTTGGTGGTTGTGAGTGATTGGCAGGTTGCGTGCTGGTGCAGACACGCTTACTGAGCGCCTCAGGTATTTAATTACATCAGATCTGCTCTGTCGCCTGTGCTGCTAAACAAAGGTGACAGTTTGCGTAGATCACTGGTTTTGATGAACCTCCCACCACTGTCTCTGTAAAGTTTGCCCACACTGCCTCCAGAAGGCACAACAGTGAATTAGATTCACTGCGTTAATTGCACTCATACCACCCGTGTGTCTGCTTATTGGAGTCATTTATGGATCAAACTAATCATTATTTTTTTTATTGTTTGTTTATTAAATCAGCAGAATAGTAATTTCCCCTCAGATATTCAGTCACATTAATATAAAACAGAGCAAAGCAACTGGAACAGGAGAGTTTTGGTGTATTCTTCACATTTTTACCTCTTAAAACAGAATTGAAAAGGTTGATTAGTTATCAGAATTGTTGCTGATTGATTTTCTTTCAGCTCTACATTCACTTTTCATGTGCAAACAAACACGGCAGCAGGATCTCCGTCCTCCCTCTGAGTGCATCTGAACATTGTTCACGTAGTAAAACCTCATTCAACAATTCAGTTATTATGTTTCTTCTGATACGTCCTAAACGAAGGAGAATGATTCCCACAAGCTGTGTGTCCGAATGAGGCTGATGATGGAGCTTCTCTTGTTTCCTGTTCAGAGGAGTTTAATGACAACCTTCTTTCTCCTTCCTTCCTTCCTTCCTTCCTTCCTTCCTTCCTTCCTTCCTTCCTTCCTTCCTCCTCGCAGCTCTTCTTCCCAGCAGTGCATGATCTGCCACGACAGCGGCCGATGTCCAGCAAGGGCGATGATCGTCGCAGCTCAATTCAGGTAAAACCAGCTGGAATCCAAGGAAGGCGAATTCGTCAACGTACGTCTTGTAACTGTCGGTTAAGGGGTATTTGTTTATAAGTGTGAAGGAAGAATCTGAGTATTTCTCTCCAAACGTTTCCAATAACAGTCATAAATGATTACTGAAAACATTATAAAAGGACTGGTGAATACTGAAGTTAGAGCTGGTTAAACACTTTATTCTTGGTCTGTGAGAAACTGCAGAAATTCATATTATTAAGAAATAAAGGAGGAAATGAGCTTTCTTGATTGGCGTTCCCACAATTCCCAGAAAAACCACAATAGAGAACACACACATACACACAAAACACAACACACAAGACCAACAACAATCTTGGGACTTGTCCAGAGATCCAGGGGTTCCTGCAGGGTTTAAAGAGTCCCACAAACAAAAGTCTGGACACACAAACACACAACAACCCGCCGCTCCGACTCTACTGCTCCAAACCAGGCTTACAACATCCCAAGGAAACCACACAATCATAACGACGCCATAAAACGAACAAAAACACAACACTTAAAAACAATGTGAATAATAGAAAAAACATACGTGAATGTGTGTAGGAAAAGAGCCTCGGCCACCAAATAAGACAGCCAAGAAATACAAAAAGATTAATGAAAAACACAAATAAAAACACAGTAAGAACAGCGAAAAAAAGAACTGTATGAACAGAAAAAAAAAAAACCGCTAGACTTACACCCTTCTTGTAAACAACAACATAAATATACACACCAGACCCACCCAACCACAAAGGACAAAAATGTCCACAAACCAGACCCACCTTTGTGTTCCGAACAGAACCTCTGTGTGGTGTTGTGTGTGTGTGTGTGTTGTTGTTGTGTGGTGTGGATATTACTGTCCAGACACAGCTTCGACTGCTGCTTGCTGAATGTGAACATATTGACACAATCATCCCCAATAATCACAAGAATGACATGAAAGGCTAAACTGTGGGCTATACACACACACACACACACACACAATACACACGATACCACATACACACACCACACACACCAAAGCACACAACACACACCAAACACACACACACACACACACACACACACCCTTACTGTACAAAGATTTATGGTGCAGTTGTGCAACCCCAATAGAAACTGACCATTGATATTGTGACGCTGTCTGAGAAATTATAAGTACAGTTGTACACAGATTACGCAAAGGTAATAAAATGTGATGCCCAGTAGGTGAGTTATGGGTTAACAAACAGAGTAAAAGATGAAATAGACTTGTTTTTTCATTCAGGGCCATTTTCTATCATTCATGTAAACCTGAAAGTGACATATTTAATATTCAAAACTAAACAACCAAACAAGCAAAAAACATTTAAAAAACTTTACAATTCAGTGTTTTTCCTGATCATTGACTAATTTACTGTTGAACAACACAAATCTTTTCTTCACAAGAAATTAACCAAATACGTGACATAACACACAACAATTGTTATAATTTTTTAAGTTTTCTTACAACCCAAAAAGTCAAGAAGGCCTCCAGGTCCCCCGTGAAGCTTTGCGATCCCCTAAGAGGTTGCCTACGCTACCCATCACTATTATGAGAGAAGACAGGTGTCTTTTAAAGTAATCCGTTCATTTCATCGAGCTGTATTATCTGTAACACAAGCCTCAGCTGGGAGAAGTGGTGCGACCTCTTCTACTATAATCAAACCAACAAAATGGTAGAGACTGGAAATATTCTGTTACCGCACAATGCCCACCAGACAATGGTCCGGCAACGCTAACAACATTGTGGCACCCGGCCCAGAATCTGTCAGAGGAGATGTTTAAGCAGAGAAAAAGTTTTGTTTCATTTTAAGGACAACATAACTCAAGTTAACAAACTTTGGTAAATTGGTAGATGCACTGGATCAACTGAGCAAACCGGTTTACAGACAAACCGGCGCCCGGGGGTTATAAAGCCGTTACCTGGTGAATTTACAACCTTTTGTCCTTATTATTTCAAAAATAATGCAGCCGGTACATCATTCCTGAATTTAAGTTTTTTCTCCCTTTTAAAAAACTATATATTAGCTCAACTGAACTCCCTGGATGGTGTGTCCCAAATTCACCATTTTGTTCCCGCTGTCTCGCTCTGTTTCACTCCCTGAACAGAGTCCCTGTCGCCTGAGCCTGTGTGGTGTGTGAGCCGCTCATTTTTCTTTACTCGTTCTTTCAATTCAATATAATTCAATTTTATTTGTATATGTGCCATTCCATAACAGAAAGTTTACTTAGGACACTTTTCAAATAGACGCAGGTCTAGACCGAACTCCCTAATCACATTATTTACAGAGTACCCAACAGTTCTCTTCAGAAGAGCAGGATTATTAATATTAGCTGAATAAAATGAACCACAAATTGACCAAAAAACAATCTCCCTCCTCCCGTTTCCTGTCAACTCCACAGCTATCTCCTCTCAATTAAACTGACTTGTTTTTCGCAGCCGTCCAGGAACCCGGTTTCCGGACCTTCAGGACCTGAGGATCTTGTGCGCCGACAATGAACAGACAAAGAACGTGTTGGACGTCCGCTTTCAGATTGTTCAAGGTGAATAAAATAACCTTTTACCACCGAATAACCACCATTTACTGCCAGTATTCACTGGTGTTGTGTTGTGTGTGTGTGTGTGTCAGTACGGGAAGCCAGCTTCAAGTGCAAACTACCAGTTATCCAAGTCGGCCGCGAGAATGAAGCCCCGCAGAGCCAGGGGGAAGAACCAGACTGACAGATTGGCAAAGTGGATATCAATCATCAGACACCATGAGATGCAAGGATTCTGGGAATCATTTCACTGTGTCATCTCACATTTACACCCGTGTGTGTGTGTGTGTGTGGTGTGGTGTGTGTTGTGGTGTGTGTGTGTGTGTTTGGGTGCAGTCAAAAGTCGGAGGCGAGCCTGGTGGCATGGAGCTTCTCGGGAAGGCCGGTGGACGGGTCATCCAGAACCCGACCGGAGGCCCAGGAGCGCTGAGAGGGAGGAAAGACAAGCCTTGGAGGGTGAGGAAGAGGCACTTTTTCCTCTATTGAACTCCTCTTCTTCATTACGTAAACTGACTGACTGACATATTTTATTTATCATATTTCATATTAAATGACAGATTGTCTGTGAAATATTGTCAGCAGATAGTTTTCCTGATGTTTTCCAAACAATTCTCTGTGTGTTATTCTGTATTTTACATGTTTTTTAACAAATAATACATATTAAATAAGATTTTTTTTGGACAAATTCTAGTTTTTCTTAAAATAGTAAACTTTAAAAATAACAAAGTTTCCTTCACAGATATCTTATTTGAATCTGAAGTGATTGTGAGAACCTTGTTGTATTCTTCAGTTAATAAGGCCAGAATGGATATGGTTATAAAATGGAGGTAATAAAAGACCTTTCTCCCCTTTAAAAACTGCTCCCGGTTTGCCTGAGTTAAAACCACAGATCATAAGGACTTAAGATTTCAAAGAACAATCGCACGGACCTTTACTGCTGTTAACATTTCATCTTAATCCACATGGTTCGCTCCTCGGTGTGAAAAGTCAGTAATAACCTCCAACAACGGCTCGTCTGGTAGAGCGCCGTACTTTTATCATCCAGATTAACAACCAAACGAGGTCCAAACATACAGAAACAGATCCATGTTGTAACACACCTGGGGGGCCTGTAATCTCCAGCATGTGGTTCACTTCTGTGAAGAAAAGTAAACGCAAAGTAAATTGTCTAATAGAACAAGTGTCAGGAGAAAGAAAACACATGAATTTGTCACAAAAGAAGCCTCTTAAGTCCTGTATGATTGTTAAATATGATAGGTATATAATACAGACAGAGAATTGTATAAAAAGTTCCCTAAACAGGAAATAATCTGCTCAAAATTCATCCAAATCTCTGGTTTTACACAAACTTCCTGCAGTTACTTAGTTCACCGTTTGGGTTCATTGTCCAGTTTTTAATATAATATAAAATATACATAAAATATGTCAGTTAAGCAGTTTAATAAATGATAGAAAATGGGTCCCAGAATTCCTCTTTAAGGAGGCTCCACAAACGTCTGACATTGTGTTTCTGTTGTGTTTGGGTCACTGATGCAGAGGAGGGAAGCCCTGAGGTGCAGTCTGCCCAACCTCAACTCTGGAGCGAGACCTACCTGTAAGTCCACGTGAGAGGAGAGGACGGGGGCGGGGGGGGAGGGTCCAGATATTTTCTGAATAAATGGTACTGTGTGCTCACTCTCCTCTGTCTTTGTGCGTGTAGCCATCCACAAGTCCCAGCCGTGGTTTCATGGCGGCGTGTCCAGGAAGGAGGCCCAGAGACTGATAGAAAAGCAGGGCCTGGTAGACGGGTGAGTGGAGGAAACTGTGTGCTTCTTAACTGTCCCTGCAGCCGAGTATCCTGAGAGATTACATCCATACTGGAAGATTCTGCACCTTTATGAGTCTGTTAAAAACGTTGTTATTGAACGTATTCTGGGGTTTTGCAGTCAGATAAAAATAGACAATTGTGAGAGAAACATGGTCTCATCCTCAGGATACGCCTCTGTTCTGTCCTGTAGCTTGACTAGGACACATTCAATGTGTGTTACGGAGGTTAATTGGTGCTAAACAACGTGAAGCAGCCGATGTGTGCTGCACTCCAGAGGTTTGGTGATCAAAGCCTGACTGAGCTCAACATTTAGGATCAGATTCTCACAATGTGGCTGCTGCTGCTACAAACTGTGAAACATTCAGCTCAAAATGACACAGAACACCCGGGACAACTGCCTGTTGTAAGCAACGTTTTTGAGAACTTTGAGAAAAACGTGACTGCGGCAAATTATGCAAGCGGTGACGTGTCTCTGGTTACTCATCGTCCAATCTGACACCCAGAGACGCTGAGCAGTCGGACGCAGACTGAGAGCAGATTGTAACGGAGCGACGTGGCGCAGTGGGAAGGAGCCTGATGGATACATGTTTCCCTCTGTGGTTAAAGAAATGTCAAGAGTTGTGTGTCTTTGTGTTGTAGGATGTTCCTCATCCGGGAGAGCCAGCAGCACACGCAGTGCTTCGTCCTCTCGCTGTGTTACAAGCTGAAGACCAAACACTACCTGGTAATCCCTGTGAGTTCCCCCAGTCTCTTAACGCAGTGCTTCACAAACCTGGAGGGGGGGCGGGTCACATTTTTAAAATCACAAACCAATAAGATTTGTGCACAAATGAACGTTTTCTGATCATTTTTCCTGCTGTTTCTGCTTCACATTTTAAATACTTAATAAAAGAGACTAAATGCATTTAGGTTAACAGACTCATTTTCCCCTCACACTAGCACTAATTCATAGACATCATCTCCTTTGTACAGAAAGCACATTTAGCAGCAGTTAAAGACGTTTTATTACCTTATCAACAAAACAATGAACACATTTATGTTAAATACTTTATAAAAGAGAGAACAATAAGTGCATTCAGCAGGAGGAAGAAATTCTGCAACCTCATTCAGCTCCGTCTTTATTGAGTGTCCTGACTGCTTTTCCTCGTGTCCGCAGTGCGAAGAGGAAGGCAGGAAGTACTTCACGATGGACGACGGCGTGACGCTCTTCATAGACCTCCTGCAGCTGGTGGAGTTCCACCAAATCAACAAGGGCATCCTCCCCGTGTGCCTCAAACACCCCTGCGTCTGTGTAGCACTATGAATCCCTTACACTAACCCTCCCAGTGTGTGTGTGTGTGTGTGTGG